CATGGCAGCTAACAACTATCCGTAACTCCAGGCCCAGAGGATCTGACAGCCTTTTCTGACCTCCACAGGCATTGCATGACATGGGTGCACTTACCTACATGCAGGCAATACACACAAACACATAAAATAAAAAATAATAAATAAAAATAAATAAATAAAGGTAGAAAGCAATACCTATTATCAACCTCTGGTCTCTACATCCATGAGCATACACATGCACATGCACTCACATGTACATATACAACACACACATACACAACAACCCACTTTGCCGTAGAATGTTCTTGAAAATGAAATGACAGAAAATGTAAAATATAAGAAAGTGTGGCATCATACGCTGGTGATTGTAGCACCTGGGAGTCCAAGGCCAGAGGAACAGGATTTTGAGGCTGGTCTGAGCTACACAGTGGAAACCCTGTCTCAAAAAACAAAACCCCAAAGCCCAACTCAAACAAATCAGAAAATGTAAAACACCTAGCTTGGTGGCTGGCTCATGGCAAATGTTTGGTAGTAAATGGTGAGGTGACATTGGCGGACAACTGAAGTATGAGTTGTTCTCCTGGGAGTCAAAGACCCTCTGGTCCTGCATGGCAATCTCTAAGCCTCAATCTCTTAACATGTCAAACCTCATGTTGGTCAAGATGGCCTATGCAGCTCCTCTGAGCTGCAGCGATGTGGCTCTAAAGCAGCCACTGCAGCCTCGAATCCCGCACACTTGCATGTGACAACTGCAGCATTTACAGTTTGGCTGTGGCATTTTATAGTTACTTCTTGAAATGTAGCATTTTCCACAATGAAAAAAAGTAGAGAAAGTAGGATTTCAGAAGTCCTTAAAGTGAGTTGGAAAGAGGTTTGAGGCAGAGCAGTTAACAGCCCCAGGGGTTAAGAATGCTCGCTGCACTTCCCAGTGGGCTGGAATTGGCTCCCAGCCCCCCCCGCCCCCCCCTGCCTGAATTGGCTCCCAGCCCCCTCATTGGCAACTCACAACTGCCTGTAACTCCAGCTCCAGGGAATCAAACATTCACTCACCCACTTTTGGCCTCCACAGTCACCTAAACATGGCATCTCTCTCTCTCTCTCTCTCTCTCTCTCTCTCTCTCTCTCTCTCGCTCTCTCTCTTTCTCTCTCTCTCTCTCTCTCTCTCTCTCTCTCTCATAAATAAAACTCTTTAAAAAAAAAAAAAGAGTGCCTAACAGGCTGGAGGCTATCCAGTGAGTAAGCACTAATGGATGAATTTAATTGTTTTCTTGTGTTTCCATTTGCAAGTTTCTGCCAAAGAGCTCTAGAAATCATTTTCTCTGAATTTACTGTTTTCTTGCATAAACCAACTTTCTTGGTGTTACAAACAGATACACAAGAAACTGGAAACTGAAATTATTCCAAAAATCACCTACTGTGGGGTTCAAATAGTCATATGTTCTTTTACCCATCATCCCAAACTAGCCAGATCTTCACAATGCAAACCACTCCATCACCATCTTTCAGTTCCAATCCCAGGCTCTGGAATCATTGCTCTCACTGCACAACTTCCATGAGCACTGCTCCTTAACTATATAACATCTATGTTACTACTGGGAGGAGACTCTGGGTGGAGTCTGTTGGTACATCCTCCAGGATGGTTACCTCACTGTCCTATGTAACCAATGGCAAACAACCCAGGAGGACAGGCAGATTGAAAGGGTGCCAGCAGCCCCCTATCACTGACCTGCCAGTTAAGCATTGGTAGAAGGCACCCAGGCACATGTCGGGAAAATGAAATGTGACACCTTAGTTAACAGGGTCACTGGGAATTATCAGGGGGTAGAGAGGTCTGGAAGCTAACAAAAGTTTAGTGGACCGAGCTACGGAGGAAGATCTAGTTAAAAAAAATAAAAAAGAAATGAGCCTGTCAAATAGCAACAGTGGAAAGCAGAGTGAGATTCTGAAGACCGTAGGGTATGGAGGATTTCTTCTGACTGCTAGTGATTACCCTTCTCCCCCAAATCCCTGTGGAATGAGATGGGTCAAAAGACTTTTCTCATGGTTCCAGCCTCTCTTGTCCTCAGAGGAGTCTTCAGCAGCACCACAGTGAGATTTTAGGGCCAAACTTCAGCCTGCCGCACATTCATCCAGGCAGCTTGTTTAAATGAGTTTAGTTCTTTGGGTAAGCATGCCTGTTCTGCAAGCATGGGGGTCTGAGTATGAATCCCCAGCAGCCATGTGAAAAGCCAGGCATGGCTGTACATGCCTGTAATCCCAGTACTATGGGGCAGAGACAGGCCCCACAGATATCAAGAGCTTGCTGGCAAGCCTAGCCCAAACAGCAAGGTTCTCGTTCAGTGAGAGACTATCTCAAGGCAATAAGACACCGGGTATTAAAGGAGGACACTCACTCATGTACATGCACCACACACACACATACCCCCCTCACATTGTTATTAATTAATTAATAATAAAGAACTAGATGAAGCTTCTAGAATGGCAAAGTAAAGCATCTGAAATAAACTCACTGGACAGGGTTAACAGTAGAGTGAATGCTGAAGAAGGAAAGATCAGTTACACAGCATCAGAACCATTCAAACAGAAGCACCTGGAGAAGCAATGAAAGGACATACAGCAGGAAAATTACTGCGAGTCAGTGCTCTGTATGGACGTATGTACTTGAACTTGGTGTCTCAGAAGAAATGGGAAGGAAGAAACGTAGTAAAAAAGGCGGGGGTGGGCGGTCTACTGGAGAGACAGCTCAGCAGTTAGAGTATGGCTGCTCTTCCTGAAGACCTGGGTCTGGCTCCCAGCACCCATATGGTGGCTAACAGCCATCTTTTGCATGCATGTGGTGTACTTATGTGCAGGCAAAACACTCATACACATAAAATAAAAATAAGTTTTAAAAATTAAAGAAATACTAGCTAGAAGTTTTTGAATTGGATGAAAACTATAAACCCACAGATTCCGAAGTTAAGTGGGATAAACACAAAAACTACACAAAGACACCAAATTACTAAAAACAACTGACAAAGGAAAACAAACCTGGAAAGCAGCTACAGCAGAGAAAGACACACTGCACACAGGGGCTTTACAAGGTAAGAGAGACTACTGACTTCTCACCCACAACAACGAAGGAAAGATCATGAACTAAATTATGTAAAAGAAAAAAATAAACTGTCAGCCTAGAATTCTATGCTGAAAAGTAAAAACATTTACGAGCAAACAAGGCAGAGAAACTTTGCTGCTAGCCCTCTGATACAGTTCTTCTACCTAAGGGGAGATGATGTCAGACAGAAACCAGGGTCTACACACAGAATAAGAAATATGGAGATACTATGTGGATTAAAGAAAAAAGCTTTAGCACAGACGAGGTGGCTCGGCAAGTAAAGGCACTTGTTGCCAAGCCTGATGACCTGAGTTCCATCTCTACATGAAGGAGAACTGACTCCTGTAAGTTGTTCTCTGGTCTCCACACACATGCTTTGGCATGTGTCCCACCCCCTCCACACACATACAGAAATAAATGTTACAAAAAAAGGAGAAGAAATTTTTAAGGAGTTAAAATTTTTTAAGCTGGGGCCGCAGAGAGGGCTCAGCGGTTAAGAACAATCACTGTTCTTGCAGATGACCTGGGTTCAAATCCCAGCATCCATATGGCAGCTAACAACTGTCTGTAACTCCAGTTCCGACAGCGTCTTCTGTCCTCCGTGGGCATTGCATGACATGGGTGCACTTACCTACGTGCAGGCAATACGCACATACACGTAAAATAAAAATAATAAAAAATATATTTAAAAATTTTTTAAGCTTTAGTATTTAGGTCCCAGGCATCATCTCCTGTCTTGCAGGTTTCTTTATAGAGAGACACCCAGACCTCATCTTTTCTCTTGAGTTTTGAATGGACTTCCTTTGAGTCATAGCCTTTTCAGTCCTGTTTCCCCCTTGATTATACAGTCAGCATAACTGGCCACTGTGTCAAGCACTGGAGATGGGAAGATGGTGTCTACCACTACTAGAGCCTGGGGGTAACAATCAAACCAACAAAGAGTTAAAGTGTGATCTGTTCTCACTGTATGGAAAACCTGGCTCTATTCACTTAGAAGTTCTGTAGCCTTGGGAAACTTAGTTTCTCTAGTGCCTTAAGTTTCTGTCACTGTAAAATGGGTATAAAATAGTACTGTTTTGTAGAGTTATAGTGAAAGCCAATGCTTAAACATATATAAGCTGGTAGGACTGGCAGAGCTGGTACCTGCCATGTAAAAATGCTTAATGATATTAGCAACTGTTATCACAATGGAAGTTTCCCAGGGAGGCTATGGGAAAACGGAGAAAACATTGGTGCTAGAGAAGGAATAGTGGAAAGGATGATGCTCCTGAGGAAGTGATGCTTCATGTTACTGTTCAGATAGTAAGCACACCCCACCCCCCACACAAAGGCTCATTGAGAAGGCTTGATTCCCAATCAGTGTTCAGAGGTGGGAACTTTAAAAGTGACTGGATCAGAGGGATGCTGACCTAATTGATGGTTGTTTCGTAACTGAAAAGGCTATTGTGAGGGGTAGAAACCATGGAAGGTGAAGGTGTGGTTTGAAAGGCAAATATACCGTGGCCTCTTCCTCCCTCTGACTCTTGTTTCCAGATACCAGGAGGTGAGCATCTTTGCTATGAAGTTCTGCCTCCCTGTGGTCCAAAAGCAATAGAGCCAGCTAGCCAAGATGGAAACCTCTGGAACTGTGAGCTAAATTAAATCCTTCTCTCTGAAGTTGTTTATCTCAGGCATTTTTGTCACAGTGATGCAAAGCTGACCAACACATTTAGCTGAGTCTGAAAGACAAGCAAGCTAAGTTGATAATAAAGGGGATTTGCCAAGAGCATTCTGCAAGGCACAGAGATGTGAAGGAGAGCCTGGGGGTGAAGCCCCTGCAAATGTCTCCAGTGACGCTGCAGCACACTGCTTGAACTGCAGCACAAGGCATCCCCCAGGGCTCTGGGGCTCTCTGCACACCCTCTGACTTCCTCTAAGAGCAGCTTACCTTCTCCATCATTGGAGCCAGCCTGACTGTGCTGTCTGAAGCGATGACTGCCAGTGGAAAAGAAAAGGAGAGAAGAAAATGAGTTTCAAACACTGACATGAACAACCCAAAGTTTCCTTGTATCTACTCTTTCTCCTAGATAAAAATATCCCTTGGTCTGTCTCCCTCTACCATCCTGGTCAAATGTATTCAGGCAAATGGGTCTGCCATGTCTAGTTGCCCAGGCTGTGCAACATTTCCGAGGGCAGCAGCCCTGGATTCTCACACAAATGCTCCTCCCACCCCTAAAGGTGTCTTCATCTATAACCCTTCCTCTTTGTTTTAATTTTAATTCATTAATTTTTTGATATATGTCTTAGGAGAAGGCCAAGCTTAGTGGGCTATCACTACTCTTGTCCAGCTATATCATTACAGTAGAGTTTGTACATCCAATACCTAAAAAGCACATGGTGAGCATATGACATGAGCATCAGTGCAGCCTCCAGACCTTCAGGTGAGGCAGCAGCATGAGGCCAGCTCTGGATTCACTATGCAGATCCCAGTCCCTGGCCATAGCCAGATTTCAAACATTTGATTTTTTTTTAATGCTGTGTTCAACATAGGTCAAGGAGACAATGACACCGAGACCACAGTGCTGACAAAGCTCCCCCAGGAGACACAGGAACATAGGAACTTACACTTCTATCTCTTCAGAAAGTTTCTTTCCCAATCTGAAAACAAAAAACAAAAAACAAGGTGTAAGTGAACCTGCCAGTCTCACATACTTGGGTAGCACCTTGGGGAAGGGTTTCAAAAGTGGGGGCAAATTAGCACATTTCAAATGTTTTGTTTGTATGATTTTTTTTTTTTTTAGAACAGCTGTAGCTCCAGCTGTCCTGGAACTCGCTATGTAGACCAGGCTGGCCTTGAACTCACAGAGATCTGCCTGCCTCTGCCTCCCAAGTGCTGGGATTAAAGGCATGCACCACTACGCCCGGCCTTATTTGTATGAATTCTTTATAGGCCAAGTTCTATAATTGCAGAGACTGTAAGGCCGTGGGTGTGTGGGGGGGTGGGTGTGGGTGTGTGGGTGTGTGTGTGTGTAAAAAGAAGCCAGAAGTTTTGTCAGGTATGAGTCTCCCCCTTATCTTTCAAGACAGGGTCTCTCACTGAACTTGGTGCTCACCAACTGGCTAGAATGGCTGCACATCAAGCTCTGCCCCTAGCTATGCTACAGTTACATACACAACCATACCTCGGCATGATGGTGTTGGGTGAGGAACAAGCCTAAAACAGGTTCTCTGAGAACCTGGGCCTGGGTGACACACACACGTAGTGGCATAAGATCCACTGGGAAGTCTGTTAGACATGCAGACTGCTGGGCCCAGCATAGATTGATTTCTGAATTAGTTGATCTGTGGATATGGAACCAAGGACTACATAGTGTTATTATTTGCGGTATTATTATTATTTGTGGTGTTGGGTTTGAAGCTGGGCCTCATGCTTGCTAGATAAGCATTCTCCCACTGCACACCCTAAACCCAGAACGATGAATTAATTCATTCATTGAGAGACAGGGGCTCATTATGTAGACCAGGCCTGCCTCAACTCACAGAGATCTGCCTTCCAAGTGCTGGAATTAAAGGCATATGCCACCATTTCCAGCAGACAATGCATTTCAAACAAATTTAATCTAAGGAGGTCACCACCCTGGGAATGGCAGCTGTGGATGGTGGTTAAACTTGGCTTTTGGGTACATGGTGATTCCATTTCTGTCTAAAAATTCCTACAACAGAGTTGCATTTCATTAATATTTTATTATTTTTATTTTTTATGTGTATGCGTATATTGCCTACATGTATGCAAGTGCACCCATCTTGCACAATGCCCTCAGAGGTAGGTGGGAACTGAACCTGGGTCCTCTGCAAGAGCAACCAGTGCTCTTAACCACTGAACAATCTCTCTAGCCCAGGGTTTGAATCTTAAATGTCCCCCAAAGGCCCATATGCTAAAGGCCTGGTTAGCAGCCGTGGGTGGTGCTACTGTGATTCCTAGGCAAAGTGCCATGGTAAAAGGAGTGGGGATTCTGTCTAGAGGAGACAATAATGATGGTGCTAATCATGGGGGAGGCTGATTAATTGCCATTCTTCCATTCAATATCCAAAAAGGGGGGAGAGTTAATATTTAACTTAATTGCTATGGAGCCCACATCCTGTACTCTCTCCCTCTAGGGGGAGCCCACGGACTTTCCCCACCACTTCATTTCTCTCACAGAGGAAGGAGGCAGATCAGAATGACATCCTTGGGGAGAGATGGGCAGTAGGAATGCATTCTGGTCTCTGTCTCTGTCTCTGTCTCTCTCTGGTAGAAACAATGCACCTACTGCTTGAGACAGTCTAGTGGGACAGAGCCCCTGCCTCTGCTCTGGGTCATACGGAAGGAAAACTGGCCATTTCTGAGCTGCATCTAGAGTGTAGATACGTTTGGACTACACTGCTGTTTATTCTTTTAACAAAAGTCCAGCTTTCTGAATTATTTCAATAAAAAGCCTGGCAACACAACGTACAGGCGAGAAGCTTCAGCTCCAGCCGTTGCCTCCTACCACACCACCACGAGGTCTGAGTCACTAAGTCTGCACTGCTGGTTTTCTCAGAGGAGTCAGGAGACAATGGCATGGTTTCCACAGCTACATGGGTATCGATGTGAGAGCCAAAGGCAGACTAGGTGGGAAATACATTCTAGACCTGGTATGTGCTCCTCTATAGAAAGATAAATATACAAATAATTCACATGTATATCTCAGGAATAGGATCTGAAATACAATCTTACTTCACAGGTCTGCCACATCTGTCTGGACCCCAAAGGCATCTTAGGTTGCACTGGTGGCACATACTCCAAAGACTTCCATGTCTGTGTCACGTGCTACCAACACTCCATCATCTGAGTGCTGAGAAAGAGGTGAGCAGGTTTTTGCAGTGCACTGACACTAGAGCTGTGGGCTTCGACCTAATCACAGAGCTAGTTAGTGATGAGGCTGAAACTAGACTTCGCTTCTCCCAGTTTTCACCGTAGTTCCCAGACACACTGCCCCAGCTGACTTGCCTCCATCCCTGGGGCACCCAGACATCTGTTTGGATTCCTGTGCAGACAGTCCATCCAACTCCCCCTACTTACAGAAAGCAATAGATAGAATAGAGAATTGAAGGTTGCAGAGACTCTTTCAAACAGGTAGCTCTTAACCACTGGCAGGCAACAGAATCATATGGGAAATTTTTTCAATGGAGAGATGCTAGTGCCCAACCCCCAGGTAGTAATTTCTAGAAACAGATCCCAGTCATGGCTATGAGAGTCACTCCCCTGACTTTATTTCAGATATGAGACTGAACACTCCAGTTGCTAAGCAGCAAAACTGAGACCTGCCTGTCTTCTCCTTTTCAGCTGCCTACTGTCTTCCACCAGAAGTGTAATAAACATGGACTTGAGAAGGAAATGGCCAGGGGCCCAAACAGACCACAGAGTGAAACCTCTGTTCCTGAGACACACAAGAGGCTGTGGTGTCTGTATAACTCAGTCAGGAGTTCACCACATGGCAGGCCAGACAATTCAGACCCATTAGAGCCGCTTGCTCAATATGCAAAATGTAAAGCACAGAGCTTGCTGAACCAGCGCTTTGAAAAGTTAATTAAATGCCAGGTTTCTTTTAAAGAGCTCCTCCATCACTTGCTGATTGCTTTGGCCATTCTGCAGAATGAAACTTTGCCTCTGGATCAGATTAAATATCACCAATGCCCTCCCACCTTACAGATTTGGTGACAGGGGTAAAGGCATGCCAACGGTGATACAGTGAGCCTCTTTAGTAGCTCACTAAAGAGGAAATCCAAGCCATCTCTGGGTGGCCCTTTGCAAACCATCAACATGCTCAGCCATGAAGCCACTGCATTCCAAATATCTGCTTCTGGGATTTAAGGGTTTAAGGTCTTCATGTAAAGTTCAGCACCTTGACTTAGCACTCAACACGTCCCCTCCTGGTTTTCAAGCCTGTGTCCCTCTGACCTGCTCAGCTTGATACAGCCACTCAATCCTCAGAGTTTGAACTGGACACCAGGACCTAACGTTATATTACATGTACGTTACGATTGCATAGAGCATGCATGATATTTTAGAATGACTGTGTTATTTACTCCATTTTATAAGCAAAGAAGCTGGAGCTTAGAGAGGTAAAGTAACTTGCCTTTGGTCGCCCACCTAGAACACAGCAGTATGTTCTAGTATGAATGCAAGCCAGGCTGGCTAACCCAAAAGTCCAGTTTTTAACCTTTGCCTGACAGGGACATATATGCAAGCAGCTCTGCATACACCAATACGCCATTTCCACACACACTGTTCAGATACAATTAGTATTTTCCACAGCAGGGACATGCTTCCAACTTATAGTAGGGCTACAGCTTTGCAGGCCTTATAACATGATGGTTTAATTGTTTGATGTGATTTATTATTTATTTTTTAGTTATAATATGGTAACTTGTGTTATGGTGGGAGGGGGGAGCCTATCTAGCTAAGTTACCTTCCCTTCCACAGTCCCACTTTTTTGCTTATTTGGCAGGCTAAGGACGTGCTTGATCCCACCAGCATACTGGGTGACTATAGCCGCAGGAGACCTGGAAGACTGGATCCTCCTGCCTTTATTCTGAGACTCAATGGAAAAGGTGTGCTGTGAGTTCCTCCCTGGGGTAACTCCTCAGATGGGGGTATCATCCACCTGTGTGTGTGTGTAACCTGATTTGCCTCTCCAACTGTCTTGTGGCCACCTGTCCTCCCTGGTCCCTTGCTGCATAAAAGGCCTAGTCTGGCCATCATGATCAAAAGAAGGACCACATCTGAGGGACCTGTAAGTGGTTATGACCCCCCAACTGCACAGACCCTGCCAACTTCTTTTTTTTTTTTTTTTTTTTTGAGAAAGGGTCCCCCTGTAACTCCCGCTGGTCTGGAACCCGCTACATAGACCAGGCTGGCCTTGAACTCACAGAGATCCGCCTGCCTCTGCCTCCCAAATGCTGGGATTAAAGGCACGTGTGCCACCACCTCCAGCTAAGCTTCTTTTTAAGAAATATTTATTATTTTTATGTGCATGCATATATTGCCTGCATGTAGGTAAGTGCACCCGTGTCATGCAATGCCCACAGAGGATAGAAGAGGCTGTCGGATCCCCTGGAACTGGAGTTACAGACAGTTGTTAGCTGCCATCTGGGTGCTGGGATTCGAACCCAGGTCTTCTGCAAGAACAGCCAGTGTTCTTAACAGCCGAGCCATCTCTCCGGCCCCCCTGCCAGCTTCTTAAGTCCCTAAAGCAACCTGATTCTCCACCACCACCATACACAGGCCTCAACTGCTGCTCCCAGTTTCCATGTGGAGGCTGAAGGCGGTCCTGATGCAGACCTCCGTGGAAATGTTCTCTCGTGCTTAATGGAACACTACAGAGATCTAAATGGAGATAAAGTACCATAGCTCAGAGGACAGCCAGGATTCTATCTTTATGCAGCATGACAATGTTCAGTGGTTAATTAGACACCGTTAACCTATTTTAGCAGGGGACATAGCTGGGATAAATGGGGGGAAGTGTCCTTGAAACCTCTCAATAGGAATGGCACACACAGGACCCTAGACTCCCCTCCATGCTACAAGACAGAAAGTATCATACGGACCTCAGGGCCACTGAACACCTGTCTGGGCC